GGAAGGGCCCTGGGAGGTAGGAGGAGGTGCGCGGCGCCGACCCATTTCTCCTCTGCCCGCGCGAGCTCCGAGGCCGAAGGCGCGTTTCGGGGCAAAGGCCAGGACCTCAAGGTTCCGTGTCCCTCACTTGGACCCTTTGCAAGTGGTCTGCGCAGCCTGCTTCCTGGCGGGCAGCAGGCCTGCGGCCCCCGGGACCCCGCGCAGGGCTGGCCTCCCACCAGCTCACTGCGTGGGCTGTGCCGCCGAGCCCAGGGCCTCCTTCGCAGGGGAGGCGACCCGGTCGGTGCCTGCGCGCCGGAGCTACGCCTGGCCTCGGACACCCTGGGCCTGGCCGCAGTGTCCCGTAATTACGCGCGGTGTGCAAGCCGCGTTATATTTGTCTCCCCCGCCCCCGCACGCGGCTCGGTCTCCACGGCGCTCCCCACCCCCCCGCGTCACGTGCTGGCGTCGCCATCCCCTCCTCCGCGGAGCTGCCAGGCGCCCGGCGGGGGGGCAGGGGGAGGCGATCTGGGTTGTTTCCAGTTTTCCCGGTTATAAATAGCATCGCTCTGCATGTCTTTATTACAAATCCTTCCTCCGAAACCCTGAATAGCTGAGCCCTGGGGGCACCCAGGACCCAGAGCGCGCATCCTGCCGGTCCCACCGCTCGCGCGGGTGGCACTGCGGACGCACGCAGGGCCTGGGGGCAGGTCGCGGCCGCCCCCGCAGGGGTGCAGGCCGTGGGCTCACGGTTCACGCTGCACAGGCACCGGAGGAGGGGGAGCGTTGTGCTCCTTCGGTTTGGGAGGAGCTCGGTGCTCCAGGGCCCTGGCGCGAGGCAGGACCATCCTTCCCTCCTCGGGGCCTTTGGGTTTGCCTGTCGCCCCTTAATTCTTGTTGGCTTCATTAGTACAAATAGAATAAATAAAAACATCCTTATTGTGCCAAGTGCAGCCCAATTTTTACATTTCTTCTACGGTATTTTCCTTTTTTGAGTCAGGGAGCTGGGTTGCGGCAAAGCCTGGCCACGTGGGGCCCGGGGCCCAAGGCATCTCCAGGAGCCTGGGGGGTGGGAGCAGGAAGGGGCCGCTCTCCTGGGCGCCAGCAGGGACCCCCCGCAGCCAGAGGCCTGGGCAGCTGCGGGGGCCAGACTGGACCCCAGCCTGGCGGTTGCTCCGCTGGGGTCCCTGCACCCCAGCAGTGTGGCCTCTCACGGCCATGCTGCCCAGCGAGAACGAGGAGGTGCGCGCGTCCCTGTATGTCCTCGGGCTCAGCTTTTTTGCGGGTTCCCGGCCGCGCCCCCGGCTCGTCGCTGAGCTTTACCGCTTTGCTCGTTCCCGTGGCGGCGCCGCAGACGCCGTGGGAGCCCCGGGCGCCCGCAGAGCGCGCAGGTGAACGGGCGGCCGAGCGTGGCCCTCTCCTCCGCCTCCTCCGCCCTGAAACGCCAGCCCTGCGCCGAGTGCGCACCGCGCAGCCGCCGCCCCGCCGCCCTCCTGCGTGAGTCGATGCAGAGCAACGGCGTGACTCAGTGTTTTCTTGTTGGTCTGGGGCCTTCGCCCCTCCTGCCTGGTGTGACAGTCGCCGCAGGGACAGGCGGGCAGTCCCGCGTGAGCGGGGCGCCGTGGTTACCGGCACCCACTAGAAAATCGAGAGGATGTGGCGCCGATACTGGCTTTGCCGCAGACTCGCTGTGCGACCGGAGCCCGTTACAGCATCCGCCCCAGCCTCAGTTTCCTCGTTTGCAAAAGGAAGCCAACGATACACCCTGCCTTGGAAAGTCTCCATAAAATCTAGTAAAGTAGCCCCGGCTCGTGTGGTTCAGTGGATTGAGCGCCGCCTATGAATCAAAGGGTCACTTGTTCAGTTCCCAGTTGGGGCCCAGGCTTGGGTGCCGGCCTGGTCCCCAGAAGGGGGCGCGCAAGAGGCAACCACACGTTGATGTTTCTCTCTCTTCCTCCCTCCCTTCCCCTCTCTCTAAAAATAAATAAATCTTAAAAAAAAAAAATCTAGTAAAGTGGTGGGAAGACCGAGGAGCTTCCAGCGTGTATGAGCGCCAGCACCGCGGTCGTGGCTTGGCCTTCCCCACCCCCACCCCCACGCCGGCCCGGCATGGGCTGGAGCGCGGGGGTGAGGGCCCTCCTGCCCTGGGGGACCGCGGCCTGCCCTTCCAGGCAGGTGGCTACGACTGGGATGGGTGGTGGCAGTGACCTCCCCACCACCACAGGCCCTGTCGGTGACGGGGACAGAGGAGGCCATGGCTTCCTGGGGAGAACCAGCCCCGCGAAGCACTTTTGGCTCTGCAGATGTGATGCTCGTTGCCATGGGGACCATCCTAACAATAACCTCCCAGAACTGATACTCCCCACGCCTGCCCCAGCCACCACTCGGGAGGGAGAGCCCTTCTCGCTGCCGGGAGCCAGCCAGGAGGGACAAGGGGGGAGGCGGAGAGCGGGGGGCGCGAGGGGAGGGGTGGGGAGAAGGGACTTCAGGGCCTGGGGCCCAGGATGAGCCATGGCTGACAGCCCCTCACCCTTTGAACCCCGAGCTCAGCTGCCTCAGAGGTGGGAAGTGCATTGCACTGCAGGGGGATGAGGGGCGGGGTGTGGGGGCGGGGCCATCTGGGTCTCCGGTGGCCCCACCTGTCCCCTCTGTGGCCCCTGGTCACCCCACCTCCCTGCCCCCGGCTGCTCTGGGTCACAGCTGCAGGGTTTCGGCCCCGGGGCAGGGCTGCCGACCCTGGGTACTAACAGGAGTAGGAGGGGCCTGCAGTCGCGCCCTTCAGTGACCCTGATTCTTGTGTGCCTTTGGTCCTGGGCAGCCTCGCCACCCGGGGAAGCAACCTCGAAACAAACCTCTGGATGCTGCTGGGTCCTCCCCCGGGGCCGCGGAAGCCGCACACGCGTGAGTGTGAGTGTGTGTGCCTGTGAGTGTGCGAACATGTCACTGTGAGTGCATGCGACTGCGGAGTGTGCAGGTTGCGTGTGTGTGAGTGCATGGCTGTGAGTGTGCACGCGTGTGTGTGTGAAAATAGAGGACGCGAGGCTGTAGCGGAGCAGCGGGCTCCGGTCCCGGGCACTCCTCGGCGTGGCGCTGGGCACGTCCGCTCTCCGCCCTGTCTCACTGCTGCCCTGCCAGGGAAACGGGGGCGAGGCCGGTGCCCACCTGCCTCGGGCTGATCGAGAATCAAATGAGACTCGACAGGCAGAATGTGTGTGAATAAGCCAGTGTCCTCACAACCATAACGCCACATCCCGGTGGCCTGCCCGGCGCCGGCGGGAGCGTGTGCGACCTTAGGGTGCCCCGGGCTGGCTTTCAGGGGAGGGGAGCCTGACTCGCCCCAGGTGCAGCGTTGTTCTGTTGGCTCATGCACCGCAGGCAACCGTGTGGGACGGCCTCCTGGCCTCGAGCTCCGAGCCCTCTGATGGCCCGGCATATAGGGGCAGAGACCTCGTGGGACCGGGCACAATCCAAGAGGGCCTCCTGGGAGAGGTGTGCCGCCTGCCAGGACGGCGGGGGCGCTGCGAGGTGTGGGCGTGATCTCCCTTCCCGCCGAGGTCGCAGCCGGGCCCCCACAGGCCCTCACTGACCCGGCAGGGACTCACCGTCACCCCGAGTGTCCTCTGCCGGTAGACGCCTCCTGGGTGTACATTGTGTCTGCAAGGCCTGCGGGACCTCCCAGGACCCAGGCCGGCCCCCCGGTCTGCTCACCTGTGGGAGACCCACGTGCCGAAGGCGTCCTGCGTGGAGGCCCGGCTGCCCCCACCCCAGAATCCCTTCTGGGCGAACTTTCACCCCGGAAGCATTCACTGTGGCCTCCAGGGTGGGCCCTGGGCCGGCCACCAGGGCAGGGACGCGCAGCGTCAGGGCAGCTGTGCGGCCTGAGCGGGGTGGGCTGCTGGGAACCCCCTCCCTCGGGGCCTGCCTGGGGCCTGCCGGCCCGGCCCCGGCACAGCGTGGGGGGCCCTCTTCGCGTGTCTGAAGGCCCCGTTCTCGGCGGCAGCCGGGCGCGGCCCTGGGGAGGCTCCTCGGTGGAAAAACGGGGTCAGCCCAGCCTCCCGGCCTGGCCCTCCTCCCCGCCTCCTCCGCTTCAGGGCGTCCTGCCAGCGGACCCTCTTCTATCAGGACAGAGCAGGGGCCCCCGCGGCCTCCGCCTGGGAGAGGGGGGAATGAGCCCCCTACCCGGGCGGGGGATGAGAGCTCTCAGGGCCCGAGTTCCTGACCCAGCAGCCCGCGCTCCCCTGACTCAGGGACTCGGCCTGCGCTCGCTTGCCCTCCTGGGACTGTAGTGCACACACCCAGAGTCCGGTGCTGGGGGGGTTTGCTGGGGCCCCTGGGGAGGGCAGCCTCCCCTCTTTTACCTCCCACCCCCGGCCACCCAGAGTTGCCCTGGTCCACACAGCTCTGTGGGGACGGCAGACTGGACGCTGTCGTGGGGCAGGGGCCAGGCAGCATAGCCTCTTGGGGGCGTGGGGAATAAATCGTGGGGTGAGTGACACATGTCCCTGCCCCTCCGTTGAGCCTGCGTCCCTTTGCAGTGTGGGGCAGGGTGGGCCTTCCGGGAAAGACAGGGCAGGTTCACTGGGCACAGACTCCTGCGGGCGTGTATGTGAGTGCGGGGGAGGGGTCACCATACAGGAGCAGGGAGGCCAGCCCAGGCCACCGGCTGTGCCCTAAGGCGAGGCCCTGAGCCCCGGGCGTGGGTAGTGTGAGGACGTCCGCACAGGGGGCACGGGCGCGCGTGTGCAGGTGCGTGTGTAAGGCGTGGGTGCTGGTGAGGATGCAGCCCGAGTGCAGGGGTGCAGAAGCGGGTGCTGTGCAGGGCGCGGGCGCCAGTGCCCGTGTGGGGAGCGGGTGCGGTGCGGACGCAGGTGTGAGTGCAGGGCGCGGGTTCGGATGAGGGCGCGGGCGCAGGGTGTGTGCAGCGCGCGGGCGCGTGTGCAGAGCGCGGGCGCTGGCGCGGGGCTGGCGCGAGGGGCGGCGGGCGGGGCGGGAGCCGCGGCGGTAGCAGCTGCGCCCGCGCTCCCCGCGCGTAGGTGTGCGGCGCGTTCCTGGCGGGGACGGAGCGCGCAGATCTCGCGTGCGCTCGCAGCCCAGCCCGGCCCCCGCCCGGCGCCGCGAGCCGAGGTGTCGCCCGCGCCCGCGTCGCCGCCGTGCCCGCGAGCGGGAGCCGGAGTCGCCGCCGCCGCCCGAGTGCAGAAGAGCGCACGCCGAGGCTGTCTGTCACCGCCATGGCCACTACGGTGACCTGCACTCGCTTCACCGACGAGTACCAGCTCTACGAGGATATTGGCAAGTAAGAGCCGCGATGCGCGCGGGCAGGGCCGGGACCCCGGAGACCAGGACCCTCCGCGCCTCCGGCTCCGGGCGCACTGCGGCCCCGCGCGCCCCCGGCTCCTCCCGGCTCAGGGCCCGAGGCTTACAGCCCCGCGCGGCCCCGACCCCCGGGCCCCAGGCCCGGCCGCCGGACCTTAGCGTGCGCGGCCTTGCCTGGCCCTGCCCAGCGCGGCCGCCCGGCCAGAAGCCTCGGGGTCTGGGCGCCGGGCTCGGCGCAGCGGGGGCGGCAGCAGGTGTCCTCGGAGCGCCCGGCAGACGTGACGCATTTGGCGGCCGGAGGTCAGAGAGGAGGGGCGCACGGCGTGGCCGCGGGGCCTAGAGCGCAGGGGAGGGGGCGGCCTGGGCCCGAGGGTCGTCCCCGAGTGCGCCTGGCTGTCCCCACCCCCACTGAGCAGCCGGGTGCGGGGGCGGCAGGACCTGCTCGGCGCCTGCTCCTCCGCGTGGCTCCATCCGCGCGCGGGGAGGGGGGGTGCTCGCTGCGCCTCGGACCGCGTGGGAACGGCCTCTGCCGCGGGGGCCCCCGGGGAATCGAGGTTCTGGGGAATTGTCCCCCAGATCCTTCTGGAAAGAGGAGTCTGGAGAGCTGGTGACTGTGGTCGGAGGCTGGGTCAGCTCACTGGTCTGGAGACGAGGGGGTCAGGCGGGGAGGCGGATGGGCCCCTGATTTCAGGGTCACCGAGTAGGCGGGGGCCGGGCGGTTCAGCGGCGCTGGCGGGAGGGTCGCCGAGGGCGCGTTTCAGGAAGGACCTCACCGGAACAGGTGGCTCCCGTGCTCTGCTTGCCAACCTAGGCGGCCCGGGGCCCTGGCCCCAGGGTCACCTGGGCTGGGCCGTGCGCTCTGCGAGTTGAGGGGCTGCTCCGGCCCGGGCTACCAGACCCCTCCTCCTGCGTCGGCCTCGGTTCCTCCGTGGTGGCCGTAGCGGCGGCGCCGCTGGCGAGGCTTCTTTCAAACATCCAGGGGCCAACCCTTGGTTTTCTGTTCTAAACGCGTGTCTGTGGTGAGACCTTGTGTTGGCGGGCGATGCTGATCATCGGGGACGGTGGATGCCCAGCGGGAGGAGTGTGAGGGCGCAGGTTCCCCAGCTCGCCCTGCACGTGCGGGGGGGCGGGGGGGGGGGCAGGAAGCCCAGGCAGGGGCTGGGGGGTGGGCAGGGGGCCCCGGTGGGGGCAAGACCAGGCTCTGGGGACCCACAGGCTCCGTTCCCTCGGGTGGGGGCCTGGCCCCAAGGCGAGTGGGCCTGGAGAGCAGAGCAGAGCAGAGGGCAGGGGAGGGCCCGCCCTCGAGGTGCCGCCCCCAGGCAGGCTGGGCGGCTGGTGCGGGAGGGCGAGGAGCGCAGCTGTGGGAGGAAGGCGCCCCTTTGGGGGTCCCGTTGTTCCTCTGCGTTGCACTCGGGGGCACCTGGCCCTTTCCTGTGAACTTTTCCGTGGGTTCTCCCTGGGCCTGTGGCTGCATGGGGGTCCCCAGCCCCCGGCGTCTGGCTCCAGCCATGGCTGGCTAGTGCCCCGCTGTCACCCACCCCCGTGCTGGGGAACGGAGGTCCTCGGGGCTGCCCTCGGGCGGAGAGGGGGTGGCGGACCCCGCAGTGCATGCTGGGCTCCTACCCCGCCCACAGGGACGGGCCGCTGGCGGCTGCCCAGGCCGTGGTGCCCAGGGACTGGGCCGGAGTGGGGGGCGACCCTGGCCGTGGAGGGGCCAGGGGCCTGGGGTGAAGCACCCGGCACCCTGCCGTGGGACCTCCGAGGTGGCCGGCCCGGGGAGGGCCACCGAGGGTCCTGTGCAGCTGTGCTGGGGCACCCAGCCGGGCGGTGGCCCAGTGGGTGCAGGGCGAGCCCGGGCCAGGGTCCACCGTGGCCATGTTGGCGGGCTCTCGTTCGCGCCTGGCCTGCTGGAGGCACAGTTGGTGCTGCTTCCTGGCCCAGGTGACGCGTCCAAGTTTATTTAAAGCTGCAGCCCCTGGCACTGGTCAGGCGACAGCAAGGTCCCTGCCCGGGAAGGGCCAGCTACTGGCCCACAGCTGCCCGCGTGACGACCTGGCCCCAGCCCGGCCTCCCCTTTTCTTGACCCCCAGCTGCCGCCTCTGCTGCGGATGGTCCCCCGGGGGCCTGGGCAGCGGGGTCCGAGGGTCAAGAGGAGCTACTTTCTGAGGCCCCGCCCTCCCTTGTCCAGCTGGATGCCAGCCCGACTTGGCCCAGGTCCTGGGTTAGGAGCCACCTCGAGCGGGGCCCCCAGCAGGCACGGAGCAGGCGGGAAGGCCTGGTCCGCAGGCCCTTAAAATCAAGAAAACTTCCCAAGTCAAAAAATAAACCCTTGTATTTCCTCTGCCCAGAGTTGGAAAGTGTTGTTCTTTCATCCCTTTGGCTTTAAGCTCTTCTTTGGTTACCAGCAGTGAAGCCTGTGCCTCCAGCCACTGTCCCGTGCGTGGTGTTTGTCCTTCCAGACCCGTGTGGTCCGTTTGCACCCAGAGGCCCATGTCCATAGCTCGACACGGGGTCCTCCATGTGTCTCTTGAGCCTCACAGGAACATCCTGGAGCAGTTTGCCCCCCACGGAGCATCGTGGGCACGTGGAAGTGACACACGTCAGCCCTGCGTGCTGCTGCGCAGTGACCGTGGCGCGAATACGTGGCCCCGCCCCAGTGCCGGCGCCTCCTCCAGCCCCGCGGGGGCCTGACCGGGCCCAGACCGCGCGGTTCCTCAGGGTGCATACGCCGCGGCGGGGCCCCTGGCCGACCTGTGTCCTCTCTGTGCCTCTGTGGCCCGTGCCCTCCAGCCCCCACCTCGGGTCTGATGCGCTGGCTCTCGGCCGGGGCAGAAGAGGTGCCTGTGCCCGGGGTCCCGAGGCTTCCACTTTTGGGGTTGTCTCCTTTAGAGTGGGGGTGCTCTCCCAGAAGAAGGCAGCTCCTGTGAGGGCTGGACGTAGCTAAGGGGTTTGTGGACCTGCTGTGTCAACCCCTGAGGAGCATGTCACTATGGACCTGTGGTTTTGTTGAGTTAGTTGACCAGGAAGCCCCTGCCCCCAAGAGTTAATGGAGACGGTGCTGAGGGAGGGTGGGCGCCTTGCCCCAGCAGCGAGGAGGCCGACCTCCAGCCCAGGCCAGGGCTGACCTTGGTGTGCCCTTGACTCCTTCCAGTGTCTGTCCTGCTGTGTGACCCCTCCCTGGAAGTCAGCACATTCTCAACAAGCCAGTGGTCAGCCAGGGGGTTACCAGATAAAGTCCGGAGCTCAGGGCAGGCGGGGTGTTGATCCCTGACCCCTGGAGCCAGAGCAGGGGCGAGGGTCCGGGGGAGGAGGAGCCATGGTGTTTGCTGCCTCCTGCCCCGCCTGGGGCGCTCCTTCTGCCCCCCAGGGCCACATGGCTCCTTCGCAGCGGCTCCGTGGGGTCCCATCCCAGACCCTGCTTTGTCCTCGCCAAGCATTGGGCACCTGGCACCCCAGGCAGCCCCCTCGAAGGCGGGGCTTCGGGCCTCCGCGCAGGGCCCAGGCCCCTGCCCCTGCACAGGAGCAGGGGCTGCCCGAGGTCGCAGGGTCCTGGCGGGGGCGGCGCTTGCGCGCACTCGCTGTCGCTGCTGCGGGCGCACCTGAAGGTGAGGCTCGCTCAGTTACTACTCGGTGGTATTTTTATACCATAACCTACTTTGCTGGGAGCTAAGAATATAGCTTCGTTTGCTACCTGCGCTCCTCCTGCTCTCGTGACGGTCGCCAGCGGTTCCATGGCGCCCGTCACACGAGGTGCTTGCTCTGCAGCCACGGCCTGTTGGAAGGAGGGGGGAGGGCAGGGCCTCCGACCAGCACCCGGCCACTCCGGGTAGGGTGTGTGCGGCGCCACGGACCCCGGAGGCCGCCCCTGCCCCTCTGGAGACCTTGCTCGGTTCTGGGCTTCAGAAACGCGGGCCTTGCCCCGCCAACCCCGCCCCTGGGGCCCTGGCCTGCCCCAGCCGGCCCTCCGTCCCGCAGGCTCCTGCCTTTCCCGCAGGGGGCGCTGCCGCACGACAGCCAACACTGCCCCCATTTGGGACCAGCAAGGCTTGACATTTTATTTTATTAATCAAACGGCAAGGACAATATCATCTTGTAGAAAAATAAAAGGGCAACGCACGCACACACGTGCAGTAAACGTGCCCCTTACGCCCAACGTCACCTCACCCCCCAAGGCAGCTGGACTGTGGACCCTAACGTCCGGGCAGGGACCTGGGGGGCTGTGTGGCACCTGTGGGTGCAGGCACATGCATGCATGTCATGTGCACACACGACTCCAAAAACGCTGGTGGCACCCTACCACCACACACGGGACCCTCAGCGTGTCGGCCCGCAAACCGCAGCCTCTCCTACCGCCCGGTGCCTGCGGCTCCCTCAGGAGCAGGACGTGTGTGTACACGTGGGGCCTGTCCTCTGAGGAGCATGAGCCAGGCCTGAGGGGCCCCGGGTCTGGAGGGGCTCCCTCAGTTGGGGGGCGCAGCCGTGGGCCTCTGCTCTTGGCCGGGAGCGCAGTCCTCCCCGTGGGGTGGGTCTGGAGCCTCTGCCGAGGGCCCAGGGAGAGGCCGGCTACGCCGGGCTTGCTTTCTTCTCCCTGGAAAAGTGTCCAACAGAGACGGCTCCCTTTTGCGTCGGCCGAGCTGCCTGGGAGCTGCGTGCTTCACAGGACAGACCGGGAGGAGGGGACACGCCTCATCTCTCCCTCTGCCCCGGGGCCACCTGGTCGCAGGCTGGAGGCCGGCCTTCCTGGAGATTTCAAATATATTCTCAAAAATTTAATTCTGTCGCTCTGTCTCTGACAAAAATGGAGTCTGATTTGATTATTTTAAAGTACCTTTCACCGCTGCGAGTCACTCGGTTAGCGTAGAAAACTAAATGCGTCGCGCGTCAGCGAGGTTTTTCCAGAGATCGCCCTGTCGGCGTGCTATGTGAAACGTATATTTTATTCATGTGAAGATCGGGATCTATTTAAAGTAAAAGCAGATG